ACACACACACACACACACACACACACACACACACACACACACACACAAACACACACCTGCTGCATTCACACAGAGATTAACAAACAGATACTTCAGCGTGACAAGTCACGCATTTCTTTCTGTCCGCTGTCTCCTCGCCTTTCGCAACACTTCAGAAAGGTTTTCATTCCCTCCGTCATCAACCAAGGACGCAAACAAGGTGACTAGCACATCATCAAACCATCTGGTGTGCGATAAATAGAAAAAAAGAATAAAAAAAACCACCCCCCCCCCTCCCACACACTCACACACAAGACACACTCACTCACACACAGACAGACATTCAGTGCACACACTCTCCCAGGATACAGTTTATGTTGTTACATTGCAGACAGTTGTGGGTAATCCTAATTCAGCAGCAAGAAGGGGAAACTTCTCAATGGGACCCCTTCGGTGTGTGCAAAGCATCCTCCCTGACTGTTGGTTCTATCTCTCTGCCTGACAGCTCCTGGTGACGAGCAACGACTGTAGCCACCGTGAGCAAAAACAGCCATCTCTTTTTTCTCCCCTCTGCTTCCCCGGAGCATCCGAATGCGTCCACAGAGGCACAGACCTCGGCGGCGTGTTGCCCCTCAACTTTCTCCCTGGAAACATCTCCCAGCTCTCTGAGAGGGCATTGATTCTCCTCCGGGGGGAGGGACGATGTGTCACCCTGCTCGGATTGGATTGATAACGCTGGGCTAAATTTAGCCCTGCGGCAGAAAGGAGGGGGATATTTTTAGAAAGTGTTTATAGTGCCGCGACTCGGACACTACCTCAGATAAATGACCAAATGGAAGTATTCAAGGAGCTGGGGGGGAGAGGAGGAGGGGGGGGGCACTAAACAGATCCGACTCTCTCATTGAGAGATTACTGCACTTAGTGGGATTGTAACAATTTTTGAGTGGATGAGTGCACTGCCTGTCTGGTTCACAATGTTCATCGGTTATGTTTAAAAACACGCTAGTCAAGATGAGTCCTCTAAAACATTTTCTGTTGACGTAAGTTCAGATTGAGTGGTTTCCTTGGCTCCATTGGCTGATTTGAGTAATGTATTGGTTTTCCGTTTACAACAGCCTCTAATCCATACGACACACTCCTGCTTAGAGCGGAGTCTCCTCTTCGTCTCCCCCGATGTGCTGAAGTGCTCACTTTTCTTTTGGCTGGAGGCGGTACTTACATGACGCTATCAGATATCGCATTGTGGTATATTGAGCAGCGTTGTTACACAATCTATTTTTGCCAGCTTTTGCAATTTGGGATTTTCTTTCACATACCCGCCAGCATGCATATAAAACCTGTGAGACACTTCGGTGTAAAGTGCTGACTCGCTCTGAATTGATCCCCGTGGAGCCATGGGTCTCCCGTAGAGCCTATCGTGGGCTAAATGCTAACCTTCTTCTCAGGGCTGAAACCTATGCAAAATCGAAGCAACAACGCTCTCTGGTCTTTTCTTCTCACATTGCTGAGTCTTCCCCTCCAGCGCAGATCATTTGTGGAGTTAATTGATTTGTCCTGCTGTGCTCGCGCCAGCCACACGCTGAGCCTGAGGACAGGTTCCCATTGTAACATCCAGGGCAGCCACGAACAACACACTGTCTTTTACATCAATTGGGAATCCAGCGGGGATGAGCAACTTTTCTACCTTGTCTACTCGCCGCCAACGCCTGTAGAAGAAGATTGCTTTGTGTTGTACGACACAGGGTTAAGTGTTGGGATTGATGTTTTTTTTTCCTCAGGTTCTTATAAATTTTACATTATGGTGAACGGAGGCTCAATCACTGTAGTGGCTGAGAGATGAAATGGATGTTTTTATCTACTCTTCAATCGCTTGTCGCTATCAAATCACCATCTTCTCCTCTCACCAATACCCTCCGAGTACCCATCACCTAGCCACACACAGATCCTTGCATTTAAATACACCAAATATCAGAATGTGAAATTCTCCATTCAAGTCAAATCATCATCAAAGTAATGTGCACAAATGACACATGGCAAAATAAGCCAAACTCACCTGTAGATAGTGGCAGGGCCTGGGGTTGGGCCTGAGGTCGGTGGGTGTCATGGGCTTCTCCAGGTTGAGCGAGGACTTCCTGTAGGCCTCCTTGGCTTGGCTGACCGTTAGCGTTGACCAAGAGCTCCTCTTCATAAACTTTCCCTCTGGCGCCATGCTTATGCTCTCGCAGGCTGAGCACTTGACATCGTTGTTACTCTTGGAGGTCTTCAGCGACAGTTCTCCAGCCAGGTGGCCGTGCATCGAGTCAGGGTAGCAGTGGCCTATATGGTCCACAGGATGCCGTGACATGACGCTGGGCGTTCTGTATGTGCTGTCACTATCCAGGTTGTCGTCCGAACTCCACCAGCCTCCCGAGCGTTGCTTGCCGCTGCCGTCAGACTTACGTTCTTTGCTCTTGCTGCGTTTGCTGTGTTTGTGGTGGCCTTGGTGGTGGTGATGGTGGTGGTGCGAGTTGTCCCGTTGCGAGTCGCCTTTGGTTCCGTTCATTTTGGAGGAACCTTCTAGAGAGTGCGACTTTGTGAAGAGCTTCTGTACCGAGTGGACCAAGTGGCGTATCCGCCCAGGGCTTTCGTTGCGCTGCTCTGTAGTCGTGGTCGTGGTGGAGGTGCGTTGGTATTGCAGCGTGTGGAAGCCATCCCGGTGCAGGGGCATCTGCTTCTCAAATTGGTCCAGGAGGTTCGCTGGGATTCGGTTCATTTTGCCGCTGCCGCCATGCGAGGAGGAGCCACCGTCGTCTCGGGAGTCCCTGCCGCCGGAATTGTTGCCGCCGCTTTCCCGCGCTGCGCTGCCATAGTGCATGCGGGGGAAAGTGCTACTAGAGATGGAGTGGTCGGTGGCTGACATGGACACCGGTACCACCATGCACTCAGAGTGGATGGAGCTCCGCGGGGAGCAGCGATGGTGACTCTCGAGGGGGCAGCTCTCTGTGGGGCTGAGGAGGTAGGAGGGGGGCCGTGAGTTGCCATGGTGGAGGTGATGGTCCAGGGAATGGTCGCATTCAACCAGGCCGCAGGTGTGGGCTGAGGTGGGAGAGGTGATGTGGAGCTGGGCAGGGCGGCCGCCAGAGAGACCCTTCATGTTCCTGGGTGGAGAGGAGTAGCTGTCCTCATCGAAGTACTGCGTGGGCGACCATGAATACTGCTGGTCTGAAAGAGAGACAGAATATTACATCACACTCAGGGTTAAAAAATAAAAAGCGTTTTTCCAGAAAAAGAAATGCATATCACATTAAAAGATGAGGGGGAGAAAAGCCTAGTAGCGAATTACTAGGCTTCGGACAGGTTGGTCATTATCGCCCCATACGCTCACTCTCCCCATCCACTTCAACTACAAAGGACATGAAAAACTCAAAAACTCAAAAAGTAGCACATCGGAAATGTGAAAGTGAAATCAACAGATTGCAGGGACAAAATCCATCCTATTTCATCTCTGCTACGGAGGTCTGCGACGGCATACTGCAGGAGAGACAGGGAAAAAAGAGAGAACGGAAGAAAGAGAAAGGCAGGCGACAGGTCGGAGCCGGCACTGCCATTTATCCAATGCAAAGTGAAATAATAGCCTATCACTCCGTGGTGCTGGTGTCATCCGTCAAAGCCCCGAGGAGAGCGCTGTGAGGCATACGGCCAGAGGGGCGTCCTTGGGAGACTTGATCACCAAATGCGCCCTCCCTCCTTTTAGTCTCTGTTGGCCATTTAGTCCGAGATTAAAACCCAGTGCTGCGGGCAGACATCCCAGTACTCTGTTCCATTGTGTTGAACTTAATCAGAGGATGGCTTTACTTTATCTTGATGCCTCACCAACGTATGTCGTCAGTCATTACAATATCAGCCCGTTCAGTCACGTCAGAACAATTGGGGTTAAAATTCCATGTGGAACAATAAACACGACCCCGTAAATAATATTTTTGATCATCTGTAACAATTAAAATGTAAAACATAAACCAATCTAAAGGCCTTCATATGAATACTTTTACACTTTATGAGGTTTAAATTAGCCAATGAGTGACAATTAAGTTATGCTATATAACAAGAACATATAAAAAGTGTAGAATCTTATTAATAACAAACATTTCTAGTTACCTGCTGTCTGTTTTCTGCTTTCCTCCTTACTAGCTTCACCATGAAAAACAGAATATTGTAGCAGAATATCTAGCCCAGGTCATATTTTAAACTTATCTGCATCCTGTCTTGTCCAATAGCAAATAAACAAACAAAAAAAGAATAGCCGTATCTAAGCTTGCTTGCCTGCCAAAGTCACGCCTCATAAACCCGTGCACCTTCACTCTCTCTGCCCCATCAAATGAAGGAGAGCTTTCATGAGCTACGGTAAGAGAGAGAGAGAGGAGGACCAGAGTTTTAGGCCAAATTGTAGCACTTTTAAACTATATCAATGTACTGACCAATCAATAAATTCTTAATTATTAAATATCGACATAGATACCATTAAGAAAATGGGCAAGAGGACCGTTGTGGAGGAAAAAACACCTTAACTTAGCTCATGCAGGTGCTCCAATGATCCAATCTTACTGCTATAGGTAAAATGTTCATACCGGTGGTATTCTCAGTGCTGCTGTTCCTCAAAATGAAGGCCACATTACCCTTTAACAAAACTGGTGTCTGTTTTTTCTTCTTGTCTCAATACCAATAAAACCTTTGTCGATATCTTTACCAGTGAGGAGAACAAATATGTCTTTCCCAGAAACAGCTCCCTCTTTCCTGTTAAAGTGTAATCTATCATCATGGCACACTGGATACAAAGAGCAAGCACTCTTCTTTTTTGTCAAAACCTGGCGATTTGGGTGTCTTCTGCTAGTAACTAACATTGCCTAAAGCAGAGATGAAGAGCGGGCTGCAGAGGTCTGGTAAGCTCACTTCTTTCTAACTCCACACCTTCACATTTTTCAAACTCGCAGTCTTCAGCCCCAACCAACGCTGACTCAGGTGACATCACGAGAGCAAAGTTATTAAGACCTCATGCACCTCCTTATGGAGCCACAAAAGCCTCCAGAAGGAGCTCCCCTTCAAACGTTGTGCCATAAAATGAAATAAAAAAAGTCATTTTAATTAACCTGAGCAGGAATGACCAGTCACTCTCAGGGCTCTTAATTTAAATTGCCTTTTTGCTGATGGACAATGTGTGGAATGTTAAAGGCTTCGGACAAAACTAGAAATGAAAGAAAGAAGTCTTTATTAAGGCCCTAAAGAGACTAACCTGCAATGAGGGGTTGGATATATGGTACGGTATGTTGAAAGTTACTTTGTCCACCTTATACAACCGTAGAACGGAACACTGGAACACTTTATAAGGTCATATTACACAAACTGCCTCCTCTATTTTCACTACTGAGAAAAGAGATTTTAAATCTCATTGAGACTATCCTGGAAAAATAAAGGTTTGACAAATAAATCCTATAAATTAAATACCTGACAAATCAAGTTACGTTATCACACTTTGTCAAAAATCCTACAGCATTGCCACATTCCTCAAAAAGAGCTAAATGAGGATTGGCAGATTTGCATCTCCGAACCTTTCCTGCAACTACCCAGCAACAGTTATTAACTTAAAACTTATTTTATTTACTGGAGGTTCTACATTCAAACACATCTGTGTCAGCTTCACTCACACAAGTTAGAAACCAGACCGTGCTTCTCTGTTGAACCCCCCCATGCCCTGTCCCTGCACCCTCAGCATGTTTGTCACTGGGTATATTGAGGATTTTCCTCGTGATTATTTTGCCAACAGCTCTAAGAAAGCCTCATTTTTGCAAATCCAACCCGTCCAAGATCACGGGAACGACTACTGTGATGTTAGTGAATTGTGACTAAGGGTGGATGTTTCTTTTCATCTTTCAAACTGGATAAAATGTATTCCATTCAAACTTATTTTTAATGAGGTCTAAGATCTCAACCCCTGAGGTACAGCCTTGCTCTTCCGTTTGCTGTCGTCTTCCATCTGTCGAGAGGATAAACAAAATTCTCGTTGTTTACCAGTCTTACACGAGGACGTCTAACTCCGCAGCCTGATGCAAAATGAATCCAGGCTGCTGCTCTAAGCATGCATGAGGACATTTCTCCTCAGGAGGGACTGCTTTGGTAAGGCTGCACATCGCAGAGCTGAACATGCATAACATGCAAAAACATCACTCCGGAGTACAGTTCTACAGGTTAAATCAGGTGCGCTTCCTGAGCCCGAGTCCGGTTAACTGCTTGCTAGTCATTGCAGCAGAAGGATGATGGTGCATGATTGATTGATTTGATGCTACATTTCTGTCTGAAGTTATGTCACTGTCTTACTCCAAGGCCTTTCTCTGACAGCTGACTCTTCCTTGAGGTATCTCAGGGAGCTGCTCAGAATAAATTATCTACCGGCGAAGTTACGGCATTTCCTGGGATTATACACGACAGATGACAGACTCATCCGGCCTCCATATCTCGTTCTCCTTTTTTTTTTTCTTCCACCTCTTCCTCTGCTGATGCAAAATTTAAGTTTTGCTTAAGGAAAGAAAAAAAGGTATAGACGCACGATTCAAGGAGTGAGTCCTACAACACATTTCGAAGGCTATTTCATATTTTACACGAGACGGCTCGAAGGGGAAGCAGCTCTCTCTCTCGGTGAGTGTGCGTCCTTCTGGCGAGTGCTCTGCAAACGTGGGGAGGAGACAAGTATCTGTGACACCTGTGGACAGAGAGAGGTGCTTGTTGTTTTTACACTGATACCAGCACCTGCCGTCACATTATCGGCTTCCTGGCAAGGGTGCCAACTGCTGAGATGGACTGCTAGGATGGGGGATGAATTTAGAAACTGGCTGGCAATTAAATGTCAGCACAATATCCAGCATCATCATCTTTGAGTGTCGGGCCATCGTTGATAGGAACAATAATTATCATGCGGATGAAGACGAATGAGACTATTGGATATTTTTAAGAAAGGAAAAGGCAGGGGTCCTTAATGTTGTACTCTGTAAAACAATCCACTTTACATATGGGGTTTTTCAGTCCTCCATGTGATAAGCAGACATTTCCCTCGAGAAAAAATTAACCAATCCCATTCAGCTCAACAATTGGCACATTGGGCAATCTTCCGATCATGTCTGACCTAACACCTGAACCAAAATCCAGCTCTATGATGTAGTCAAAGCCCTCTGAGCTCGACGGAGATAAAAAAAAACACCTCATATCAGCGGTGGAGAGTCAGAGGAAGAGGCTCATTTATTAAGGGCTTTTGTTTTGTGCTGCTGCTCCGCCCGAGTGCAGAGTGTGAGTAAAGGTCGTTTTGCTCCTCTTAACACATTAGCATTTAAATAGCATTATATCTGCACAGAGTATCCCTGACAGCCCCCACTCCTCCACCGGCCCGGACCTTAACCGGAGTTGAAAACAAAGTTAAAAGATAACAAAGCGCTGGACTAGACTGAGAGATCAAAGGCGTGCGACCTTCAGACTTGGCGGTGGTTAGCGCGGTGGCTGGCCACCGCACTAAGTGACAGGCGTGTGTGAGGAAGAACTCCCGATGTTTAGGCCACACATGAGAGACTTAGGATGGCGGCTTTTAATGTTTTTGCATCAGCGATAAGATCTGTCATTTCGGAGTTTTCTGGCATCAAACGTGCCAAAACTGCTTCAGTACTTGTTGTGTTTTGTGCCCCCTGTAGAGAATCTGAACACTTGGAAACATCTGTCATGTTCATTTCAATCCTACACGCTTTTAGATTGGCTTAAAAAAAATCTCTACTGTGCAACACATGTTCGTAGCGGTAACCAGAATGATTCAGAACATATTTCCAAAAGGCTATTTCCAGCAGCATCCCTTCCAACTGGCCGGAGGGAAGTCACACCCCTCATTTTCGACAGAGGAGCTTTCTTATCCGTCTCCCAAAGGTTAAATGCTCTCCGCAGAATTCTGGCCTTTCTTTAGAAAATCAAAAGGAAGGGGTATTGTGTCCTCAACCCTCGGTGCAAATCAAGCAATGGTTCTGAGCTATTAGATTGGGGAAGGAGGCAGCGGACAAAGAGGCAAAGCAGCAAATCTGTCAGCTTTGCAAGCCTCATGATATCCACCACAGCAGCTCCGCTCAAAATAAGGCCCCAGCTTATGGCTCTGGCAGATATCCTGCTCACTTGTCCATCCACGTGACAGCGCAGCACGGTTCACGCACACATAGTGGGCTGAAACTGAACCCGCTGCATGTTAATTGCTAACACGATGCTCAACTAACGGAGCTGTTTCAAACTGCCACCGCAATTGGGAGCCAATCACTTGTCACTGATACATTTTTTCTCATGGACCATCTGTCTCTGGCCGAGCGTGACACCTAAAATGGCAGAAAAAAACCCCTCTGTTCCTTTCCGTGTTTGCTGCTACGACTGAGCCCTGATGCTGAGACACGAGGTGGAAAACAAAGAGTCTGCTGTATTGCTTTGTGCTGAGTCAGCACTGCTTGTGTCACACGAGGACATGTATGTTCGCATGGCTGCTCATGCAGTCACGCGACGGGGGAGAACCCGCTCTTACAACTGGCCTTAAATCAAACTGGGAATTCATGCTGAGGGGGGGGGGGGGGGGATTCAGAGCACAGCCGGTGCGACTGAGCCTACACCACAACAATGATTCAGCAGTACGCACACGCTCGCCTCTGTGAAAATACACAGAGACACTCTGGAGTCTATGATGAACTTCATCACCTGTGTTAAAACAATGACATTCAACACAGTAAAGCAATAACTGTGATTAGCAGATTAGCAGATGCACAGTTCACAGGGAATGTACATCATGTTGCTTTTATTTTGGAAACATCTGACTAAAGTCCCATTGCAGAAAATAGAGATATCATCGTCAAGTGTTGTGCTTTTCCACAAGTGTTTGCATATCTAAGAAGATGCACTGGGGTTGCATATGGGGAATTGAGACCCTTGCATTAGCTGGGAACTCTGGCCAAGAGCTACAAGAAAACAGCTGCAGGTGGATCAGTGTGAGCATAAGATGCTCAAGAACAAGGTTCCACTGCTTTACATCACAAGCAGATATAGGTGAGATCTACCTCCCCTGCGACTGCCTCATCAGGTGATACTCTCAGGTAGGTGGTCCCAGACAACCACTCTGACGCATTAAAACTGGAAAGAAGATAAGCTAACAATCAATTCTGTAACATTGGCATTTTTACTTTGCGACCTCAAAGACAGTGTTCTGCTAAAATATAACCATATAATCTAATTGAGATGAAAGAAATAAAAAAAGAAACTTAAACACTACTCTGTGATGATTTATTCACAGTTATGTGATTAAAATGACACAAAAATAATCCAATTCACCTTTATTGGCCAAGTATGTGAATACATGTACAAGGAATTTGACTTCTCTTGCATTGCTCTCAATGTACTGACACAGAAATAGGCATACAGTAGCAGCTAGAAAGTTAAAAACTAACAGCGGGAAAGATACGCAAAACTCCACCAAACTGCTGAAACTCAGAGGCAATCAAAATAACACTGCTATCATATAATCTTCAAGTCGGCCTATATTGTGTCTACTGTGCCACTACCCGGGTCCTGTATGGTGCGTGTACGTTTTGATAGTTGCTTCATTGGATTAAATCCAACGTGGCCAAAACAATAAACAACGACTCGTCTTTGACATGTTGATAATGCATGATAATTCATTTTTGAAATGTTTTGAACTAAAATACTGGCCTCTAGCTTGTGTCACTGTAGCCTCTAGCGGTTCCTGTTGCACCAAGCTGCATGTGGCTATTCTTACACACCTGAGAGGGCTGTTTGGATGTGACAGATGTCAGAAAGAGAGACCCTCGCCACCGCTCCCACCCTCCCAAACGATCGAAGCCTACAACCCACTATCTTTCTCCCAGCAGGGGGGAGGTTTGCCTGCAAGCACAGAGGGGTGGATTACAGGAAGGAGAAGCTAGCGGAGGTAAGCGGGTATTCTTACCTTCTGTAAGGAACAATTATAATTGAGGGAAGACAATTTGCATGTGGCTGTATTGTTTTGGAAGAGTCCGTGGAGTTACCAGGCACAGGAGATACAGATTGATCCTGATGTGAATAGGACTACAGCAGCACATATGCATATTCCTGTAAACCCGTCCAAAGAGCTCTGCACACAAAAGTCTATCAGCCTCGGCACTAATCTCTTCAAAAATGATTAGGCTATTGGCAAGCTGTCCCAACAAACATAAAATGGCAATTTCTCTTCTCTAACACCCAATTCCACCTACAGAGTGGCGAGCTGAAGGCAGCCATAGTATTTAGCTGCAGAGAGATTACGGTGGCCAGATAAGGAGAAGCCGCTGAATGGCTGAATACTTATCGTGAGTTTGCTAATGACGAAGTGTGTTATCTGCGCTGCGCTCAGCGCTCCTCCTCAGCTCCTCTCTCTCTCTCTCTCTCTCTCTCTCTCTCTCTCTCTGCCAGTCAAAGTGGGGACGGAACGATAGGTGGTAGAAATAAATTTAATATAGTGTCAGGATCAGCGTTCCTTGTTCCTCCCAGAATGACAATTGATGGGGCTTTTGAGCTTCCCAAACGTTCTGGTTCCTCTTTTGTATTTTGCAATTGGAGACAAAAGGCTGCATTAGCAATGCTTACTGAACATGTACAGTCCATCTCATATTCAACATCACAACAGCAGCAGCAACGGTGTCAAATTGTCTCGCAATCTATTGTATCATTTCTTATTCAAGCAAAACGTCTCCTCAATCTGAATCTTTTCAAAGACCCCATTTAAGTTACAACAGCCCCAGAAATTGACTTGGACTCCAACAAACAGACTGCATGGGCTTGCATTTACATGGTAGCATCATAAATCCAGTGCAGCTACCCAGCTATGAATAACTCATGCTGAATGTGAAATTCTGCCACAGGAAAAGCCCTGTCTGTGTCTGTGTCTGTGTGTGTGTGTGTGTGTGTGTGTGTGCATTCCCAGGCAACTTGTTAGAGGAAGCCTCAGAACTGTTCCTGGTTGCCGTAGCAACACGCTCTGAAGTTCCCATCATCCTTTGCAGCCACTGAGGAGTTCAGGACAAAATGAGAGATAATTTGATATTGTCAAACTGTTATTATTTGCAGCACTGACGTTTTTTAAAGCTCCGGTGAGCAGCGGGTTCATCACTGACTGTATCCCGGCAGACGGGGGAAGGTCCACACCAGCCCCCCGTCCCCAGAGACAATCCCATCACGGAACTGATTTCAAAAACACTACAGGTCCCCTGGGCCCTGCAGGCATCCACACTCCTCAGCCTGGAGAAGACAATTGAAAACCTTTCCCCTCTAATGTAATTTCCCTCTCTACAGACCACAGCGGAGCAGAGGGTGTGTGTGTGTGTGTGTGGGGGGGGGGCCCAAAAGGACTTTTGGGAGACAGAAGTGATACCGACAGTCCCCTTCAGATCCTTGTCTCTCATTCGCCGGTTTTTCCAAAGACAGCCGGGACATCAGAGGCACAAAGTCAATCAGTGCATTAAAGGATTTGCTGTGATGTTAATCAGGACAAAATCTGATTGGAGAAATTACATTGCACTGACATTATTTGAGGTTGGGAAACAATTAGCACTGATAAGAGTGCTATGCAATCTCTTAAATGCTACAATATGCACTGTATGACTGGAAGAATTCATATACTCACAGGTTAAAATGACAATCACGTTTGTGTGCACACAGACACCCGATTAACGCCCCGCGTTGACTTGGATGGAGCAAGGTTGCATGTCGCTCTGGGGAATGAAGGTGAACCTGGACGTGTCTGATAGTAAAACGTAATTAGTGTAAGTGCCTGTTCTAGTGTTTTACTGGCCTCATTTCACAGCGGTGAAATGAAAGAAGTGCTATTGACAGTGCCCGGGGTGCACCTAAATGCATCATACAAAAAGTATTTACCACCCAAACAGCAGATACAACCACTCCGTGGAGTTCAGCTGATAAACTCGTAGAGCGACGGGCTGTAGAAAGCTATTATGCGCTAAAGAAGTGATTCCCAAACTGGAATCTGGGGACCCCCAGGGGTCCGTGGCACTCTATCCACTAGAGTCCAATAAATGATTTGCTATGAACTGCTAAATTGCGCTGCATCATTAAAAAGTGCATATCTACAGAAGGGAATCATTTGAGCCAGTAAAACAAACATATTGTGTCCTTTACTCCCACCCACAGCTTTGGGCCAATAGAAACTCTGATATGATTGTGACACACGGCAATAAGTTTATTATTCTTAAGTTGAAGCACTAAAAGTCTGCTTCAGATAAGTATGTTTAAATATCTGTACTTATTAGGACTATGCCAGTCTTGTTACTGTTCATCTTCTGAAAGTGTTTAAGATCAATGACTTGAAATGTCGGCTATAAGTTCTGTAAGTTTAGTCCAAATGCAATTTAATAACAAATAACAAATAAAGGATTATCTCGTTAGATCTTATCTCAACATGATTCAAATTGAAAAGTTTCTATTTGTCACTATGAAACACGTCTGATGTATTTAGTTTATAAAGTTCGAGAACACAAATAGTTCCCCAGACAGTCACTCAAACCACACCACTCCAGTAATAATTGAATGCAGCGAGAGCGCTGATTTCGTTTACCCTCAGATCCAACACAAGCAGCAGTAATGGGATGAAAGGTGATGCGGAAAACCTGGATCTAGGCTTTGAGAACAGCCAGACTGGATCGGATTCAAGGCAGCTGGCACCTGGTGTTTGAAGTGAGCGACACAGACGGCAACTGAAAGAAACACACACACACACACACACACACGAAATAGAGAAAAACATATTGACAACAGGCGTTGGGATTGATTGCTGACAGGCCAAACATGTCTCCCATGTTACGTTTGTATCCCTAACTTCACAAACTTTGTCTTCTTATTCCCATGGGTCTGCTTCCGCTGAATCTCATCGACAAGCCTATTTTTGAATCTCTGCGAGGCGAGCGGATGTACATCGGAATGTCAGACAGGTTGGCACACGCTTGTAGTTGCGTGTGGGAATCTGTGCGCTGTCAGATCGAGAGTGTGCATGAAGAAGAGTGGCAGGCATAGGTATTGTTAGTATTGTGAGGAACACTCTGCGTCGTAAACGGAGAGCACACAATATGACTCTCCTCTTGAGGAACACTCTTTGCTGCTGAAATGCATTGTAACTTGGCAGCAATATAATATAAAAACATACAGGCAGCAATGCCTGTATGTAAAGCCTTGTGGTTAAAAATACACCTTTGAGTATATCATTTGTTGTTTATTTATTTATGTGTCGCAAAACAGGCTTCAGAATGAACATTTATGAATCGTTGATGAAGATGTTTGCCAATATGTGGACTTACGTCACGGCTGGGAAGCCGCACATCTGAAGATGCGGCTGAAGTTCAACACTGCTCTCAAAAGCAATCTTTGACGTCATTATTTCTAAAGCGAGTGGAGCCACAACAGACGTCCATCCCTCCATCCACCCACCCAGTCAAGACTCTCCTCGGTCATTTCCTCCGCGCTTTGAGCCGGAGGTCGCTTAGAAACGATGCTCGAGCACATCACAGCCAGGACCAGAGTGTTTGTCTTTGCCTGGGGACACGCACAGTGCACGGAGAGATGTGACGGTCGCACAGAACAGCAGCCACCAGCTGTGTCCTCACTCGGGGGGGGGGGGCCTGATCCTAGGAGGTCCGTATCTCCAGATTCCAGGCGACCAACAGTGGCCCCGTCTCATTTCAAGGGCTCTTCCCAACGGGGTTTAGACATACTGCCTTCCTACACACGCCATGTGCATCATTAGCAATTTGTAGTAAAGACCAAACTGTTCATCAACTAATCGAGAAAACAACCCGCGTGTAACGTCACTGCTTCACACCGGCTGCGCGTTGTAAAATGTCCTCGTCAACAGGCAACGTTGACAATTCAAATCAACAAGAATAATAATAGCAGAATAATTGCAGCAATCTAATACGGCCCTGGTCTCCCCTCCAGTATTTGCATCGCTGTATTTCTTGACAGTTATTATTACCATCATTATTATTTTTTTAATCATGCATGAACGTGGATTTTTTTTTCCGTATTTATTGGTATGGATGGAGGGAATTGCACAACATCTGGGTGGTCTGTTCCTCGACTGAAATCAATTAAAGTGCTTGCGAACTCCCTCCAACTGCCATCTCCATCTCCAACAAGACGAGCCCCGGAGGGTAACGACCGCATCGGTGCGTCACACTGCTTCCTGATTGGCCTCTAATGCTTTGTCCTTGAGGCCTGCGCTTTGGGAATCTCCCGGATGTGATGCGTACGCACGCTGCAAATGAATGAGCCCACAACAATTACTTCGCCACGAGCTTTGACGATCAGGATCCATTGAAGAGCGATTCGGGTGCAGTTTAGATGACATAGCTCTCTGACTTTGTTTTATTTTGGGAAAACAGAATTACAAAAGTGTTTTAATATTCGCAGGTGTGATTCCGTATCAACAAACGTTCAGGGAAGTCTGCGTGAGAGTGTGATCGAAACTGTGAGTGAGAAGAAGGTGCCGTAAAGAGAGGGTGAGATTCCGCAATGCTTGCACGAAGAAGATACAACCACAACTCTGTCCCACTCGTTCCGCCTCCGTACCTTTCACACAGGACAGCGAGGCGGGATAACGCCGCAACAGTCCCGCCTCGAACAGGCCGCGTGAAAGGGGCAGCGGAGGATACGTGAGGAGAATTAGCATACGACAAGTTGAGACAAGGCGAAGCATGCAGCAAAGCCGTGCTTATGATGGATTAACGCTGTTTTGCATGAATTAACTGGGAATATATGAAACATGCTGTGAATCTGTTTAACTCAATGGTCAATTTAATAAGATTTAATACCTAATTATCTTTCCCTTGTCAGACTTCAATGCCGCCTAAACGTGAACAATGAGAGGTGTGCGATTTAATTGATGCTGGTGTCCTCGTTCAGCACTCCACTAATGCCATGGGTTTTGTCAATCTGATAAAGGCAATAGATAATAACCCATTACCTTGAGTTATTAATGTTGTGTACTCTCGTGAAGCATCACTCACTAAGTCCTATTGGGCCGCTTAGTGCAAAACTTGATCACAAACAGATTAGGGCGAGTTGAGGGATGCGTTTGTAAACACTGGCTGTGGCTCCATTATGTTTACAGGAGGGAAGGTCCACAGAGCTGCAGTATATGAGGATATAAAGTGAAATGGTACTGGGACTAATGAAAGCGTTTAAGGGCTTTCACATCAGCTTGACGAGATACTTTACGGTCACCGGAGAAGTGTAGAGAGAGTCAACAGCAAGGGTCAGTATGTCATGACCTCATCTGCTCCTGTTCCTCTTGATTCCCCTCTTAACAACATGAACTTGTTCCTGCCTGAGGAGGGAAATCTGCACTCTGAGCTCTCCTAAAGTTGTCCCAGTGTTGTGATGTAACGGATCACCAGTAAAGTGGTAGATGGCAAACTAGCATTTAAGTTGCATCTCACGTCTTCATTTGCAGAAAACTATTTAACAGGAGGTGAAACTCATGAAATCAATGTTGCGGTGTGAAGTTAACTCCACTTGCTCACAGAAGAATGCTGCATGGTGTTCAGCTGTTGCACCTCAGACGCTGAGCAGTGCGAGGGAGATTTTTTTTATTTTTTACCAGTATAGAGATGTCTTCTGTGTTCCAGAGAGAAATACCACAGGTCACATTACCTGTGCAGAGGTGCCATCACGGCCGACAGTGATGGATGGTTTGGTTTTTTGAATGAACGTTAAGTGGGGGCCGGCTGTCACAGCGTGCAGTGTGTTAGAATGACCCCCAAATTAAGTATCTTGTGTGCACTTCAGGAGAGCTCAACGGGAGTGACCCTGCTGCTACAAAATGGGCATATTGTAAAAAATGGAACTCCTGCCTGAATTCTTTTGATTTCACAAAAATGCAAAACAGGCTTAATTCCACCTCCATTTGTTTCGTGACGTTTAACCCGAGACCTCTTGGCCGCAAGTGATGCGACTGTAAGAGCAAGTAGGCAACAGGGTGTGCTGCGTTTTAGCAAAAGACATGTGACGGAGGGCCATGAGCCACGGCATGCATCCATCATCCACGGCTCCACAGCACAGCTTCATGCTGATTAACCCAACGTGACCTCCACTGAGGCCGGGTGAATAGAATAGAATAGAATAGAGAAGAATACATGTTTCCTCGGGGCCACATCAGACCCCGGCATTGTGTCGTTATGAGGACCCTTTGAGGAAGTGGGGGCCTTTAGGGTGAGGACACAGTACACACTATTAACCCCTCTGATCTTGGATTATTGCCACGTCAGACTGATGCTGGTTATCACACACAGACCCCACCAAAAGGGCCGGCTATTACGTCCCGAGGTTAGCTTGCCGAAGGAGGTGCAGTGATTGAACACAGTCGGGGACAACAAAAGGCTGCACTCGTTCCTCTTTTCAGACGCACAGAGTGAATTTCCCCGGACAAAAGAAACCGAATTTGAAGCAATCACTGCGACACTTTTTGACGGGATTCACATCGCCATCGGAGGATCGGTCCTCAAACCTACTACCCCCTGTAGTTAACGATGGAATCTCTGAGCAGTCTCACCAATAAATCATTTCCAAGCGAAACACTTCTCCTTGTGTGGGAAGAGAAATCATTTGTGAGTGAATCAGCCTCAGTCATGGACGACGGCGGGGAGGGAAAAGTAGGGTAGGGAGCAGCCCAAAACTCACAGAAGTGCAGTTTTGTCATAATTGTTGCAGGAAATAATGACAGTCCCTTCCGGCAGTTCATGCTGTGAGCATTGTTCCTCTCTGCCTTGTTTATGTTCTTTGAGGGAGTGTTTCCTCTTGAAAACGAGGATGGGGGGGGGGGGGGGGGGGGGGGTTTTTTTTTTTTTGAGAAAAAAAAGGTGTGTCCCGCTGGGGGGGT